ACACTCACTGACGATGCACTGGAATCTTTTCTCTAACTTGTGCACGTTGTGCATGTGCATGTAATACAGGGGGTAGCTTTTGATAACAGCATCACACTGATGACAGTAATAGCCCACTTTGGCAGGGAAGCCTAGCTCTGCCAGTTCCCTGTCTGTAGGAAGATCCTGAATGGTGATCAATTTGTCATTAATAGGTTTAGATGTAGCGTCTCCTGCATCTTCTTTCTCTATGATGGTGTTAGAGTGATCATCTGGATTGATAACAGGATGTTTATCAATTATGCTGTCACTGGTGGAAGATTTTTGGTCAACAACATTTTCTCTATTTACTGCCTGTTGGTCAATGATTTCAGTGGACAGAGTTTGTTGACTAACTGAACTTTCATTGTCCATTTGTTGTTGGTCAACAGTGTTGTCCATAGATACAGACTGTTCATCAGTTAAGGTTTCAATATTCACAGGTGACTGGTTTGTCACAGACTCAGTAATCAGAGCCTGTTGACTGTCCAAGCTCTCAGAACCTGGTGCTTGCTTATTAGCTGTGTCAATTAGAGATTGATGCTGGCCATCCTGCAGACCATCTCCACCAGCATGCTGGTGATCAGCTGGCCAGATGGTGTCCTCCTCCTCAGATCCAGCTGTTGTGTGGACAAGTTGAGAACTATCTGTGTCCCTCAGTATTTCACTTTCTAAGATCTCATTGTCTTGGCTGTTTCCATTGCAAAGTTCTGGAATATTTAAAAAACAAATTTATTCATTTAATTAATAAATTCAAAAAACAGATTTGCATCTTTCCTGGATCATTTTCAATCAGTGTATCAGATTACATCATATTTGTAGTTAACATTTTATGCCTTAAGCAACATTAAATGTAACTCTCTCCTCAACCACATAGTTTAAGATATAGATGACAACAATATTACTATCTTAACAGAAATGTGTCTCAATGTATTACATTATAAACTAATTTTTAGATACATAAACAGTAAATCAACAGGTACTTGTTAGCTTGTTACTATTTCGAGAACTATTTCGTTATGCATCTATCGAGCTGTAGAAGAAAACTCTCAAACCTACTATATAAATATGAAAAGTTGTCCGTCTGTCATGCCGATAGCTTGGACATTGAGGTATACCTTGTTTCCACTATGAGCTAACTTTATAGTAGGTATACTGTGCTAGACATCTATATGACAGTGCTTACTACACTGTTTTAGTGTTTTATTATAGTAGTAAAAGTTAAACAGAAGTTATACTGTACTAGACAGGTGAGATGTAACTTTTATATGAGCTATATTGGGTAGATTTTTTTGGTCAGCTAAGTGTGCTTTATCAAGTTTCATAAACTGTAATTTCCTTTAATAACATCCACATTAAATTTTGTGAATAGCATACAGTTAACATTGACTCAGAAATATAATATTGTACATTTTACATCAAAACAACAGATAATTCAGATAAATACAGGGTAGCTAATGTTTAACTTCTATGTAGTTTCTTGTAAAAATAAAAATAGTATGTGAAAGAATTGAACAAAGTTTTGACTGACTAACAAACTGCTCTGTACACAACCTGGCATCTCCTCTTGAGAATAGTCTGGTGTCTCCTTGCTCACCCACCGCATGTGTACATGATGCTGATGCTGACGACACATCCGTGATGTTGGGAATCGCATACAGCACACGAAACAGGTGGTTCCTTCTTCACCAGGTTCCACCAACATTGGTTGACCTACAACTTCTTCAGCTTGTCCTGGTGGAAGGTGGTTCCCTTCTTCCATGTGTTTCTGGCATACAAAAATCTTTGTTTATTTCATACCCATAAAGAGATAAATTTTCTAACTGTAAGATCTTACATGTTTTAAATATCAGGTCTAAAGTTCAGTGGATAAACTAACTCTATGTTACTAGTAGTCATGAACTTCTGGATTAAATATTGTGTTTTAAGTCTACACTAAGCTCTGATACAAACACATATTTGCTGAGTAATTGGAGCTGTGCCTTACTAGCAAAAGCTGATGGATTAACCTTTTATTTCAGTAGATAGCACTCTTGCCTAGTGCATGAGAAGTCCAAGTTCAAATCCTGCTTGAGCAAGACAAGGAAAAATTACCACAAGAAAATTGGTGCCCACTGCTATCACAAGATAGAAGGGAGAAGAATTTGGTAATTTGAGTTAAGAAAACAGTAACTTACTAGCAGCAGCTAGTGGGTTAACTATTTAACTCAGTTGGTAAAATGTGTGAGATAAAAACTATAGGATTATCACGAGAA